ACCTCTGCTGGAGCGTTCGGAATTGATTGTGGGATTTGGGGTGGGTTTCATAACTAGGGGCCTTCAGATGCCGTTCAGGTTTAGAGCTTACTCCTGGAAATTCGGCACCTGCGGGGTAGCAGGAGGACTTCAGCTCGGCATGCTGGAGTTCAGGGTCCAAGCCGGACGAAGGGCGCGAAAAGTTAACAAAACCCAGAGGCTCGCGGCCTGGAAGGCACTATCTGTCGAAGAAGAAGGTGCCCTGATGCTGGAAACTCGGTCTGCCCTGAAAGTTACCCTTCAAAGCAGGCTCGCGCTGGCAAACGCACGTGACATCGTCCCTCTGTTGAGAGGTAAGCCACGTTCAGGACTCAAATGATGGAGGTTTGGGTGTGGGCCAGGGGGGGAATGTGAATAGTACAGCGAAGGCACCAACGAGTGCAACATAGTCAGGTCCAATGCAACTTGCGAAAACATGCAATGCTGCTTGAGTTTCTTCAGGAAGCAATCCCGCTTTTGTGATATTGGCTGCGAACTCTCTGCAGCACCTGTCTATCCTCAAGCCGGTACGGCCACGTGACGTGACCTCTGAACTGGGTTCTGCTTTGTAGAATCAAATGCCATCCATTGCTTAGAACATGGTGAGCTACACTGCCTGAACATAATGAACCTTAAATCTTGTCTGCAACCAAGGGAGCCCTTGAAATCTTAGAAATGCCATACGTCCTTCAGTTAGGCTTCTTGAAAATATTGCTCCGACCACGCAGCCGCCGTATCGTAGTCCGTCTGAGAGACGTAGGTCTGTAGACGTCGCGATCTGAGCTGGAGCTTCGTGCAAACATCGGAGTACCCCTTGCTTCTTGGACTTGGATTCGTTTCGCGAACTCAGAACTTCGATCCCGAAATCAGACCATGGCACGGTGGTTTCGATGTTTGTCCACTACCGTACAATCTCTCCATCCCGGAATCACAGGCTCAACGCCTCACCCCATCCGCCCAACAACCAGTTCTCAGCCGCTTTACACTGCTGTACTTCGTCGGTAACGCCGAAACTCGGACGGACAATCGAACGATCCGGCGCTTAACTTTCAGCCTGACTCTGAGGGAACAGCGAAACCCTAAACCTGAACCCAACTGTAGACACCAAACAAGCACCTGTATCTAAATCCGAGAGAAAAAGCGTGCTAAGGCCGCGGAGAGGCTGAGCATACGCGTCCAACTTCGAGGCCTGGTCGCCGATCAACTGCTGCTGGGCCTGAACCTGAAGATTAGGATAGGGTTTCAGGGCCCAGTATACTATAGTTACATCAAGGAACCCCCAAAAGTCAAAATAGTATATCAGAAACGCAGGTATGATAGCAACAACCCAAAATGACTAGCAGTAGGAATCAGAGCAACAACCCAACAGAAGGACGCTTTGGAGACTCTGGCCAGAGTGATGGCGATGAACAAAATAGCGGTGAGATCATAGTACTAGCAAAGTTCTTGCAGCAGTGCTGCAGGGCTTGTGGTCTAGGCGTTTAGGCCTCGTGGCCTGGGTCTGAGTTGGGCATCTTTGGACCAAACTCTTCAGGAGCAAACAACGCCAAGCCCTACTTGTTCGCACTGTTGGCGGATTGACCATGGCCGCGCACTTGGAGTCGAGGAAGGCAAGCTTTGATGGAAAGCTACGGGTCGATATCAGAAGTCAAGCTTGAAGTGATTGTAGCGTTTCCAAACAAGGGGGCATGGAATCTTGTTTCACGGTGTTTTTCAAACTTCAACTTTCCTTCTCTCTGTAATATGGAAACGGCATGCATTTTGCAGTGCAGACCTGCATGCTTCATGAGTTTCTTCCCAATGGGCGATATCCAGAAACAGAGGACGACGTGCAAATGCATGCTAACTTCGGTTCGCACATAATATGGACTTACCCGGCGAGGAAACTTTGGTCGGATTGGGCTTGATTGTGCTGCATACATGCATACATGCAAGATACTCATGCATACGTGTACGTAAATCTTGTATACAGGACATCTTTTCCAAACCCACAGAGACATGTCACACTGAAGTCAACAGAAATGAACAAAGGAACCACGGTCCATCACACACACTCGCATGTTACATCTATTTTGGTGGAAACCAGGGCTAGCTGAATCGTACATGACGTCGAGTAATCCAGCTTCCCGTCAGCGGCGCCTCCGCGCGAAGAGCTTCCTTGGATGTTTGACATGGGGCCACTGACGACTTACAAAAAAGGTTCAAGTCAAAGGCATGCAGATGATACAGCTGATGTTCTTGATGTCTGTGCATGCAATGTCGCAAGTGTGATGATGCCGATGTCTGTCGTCAGTCTCATGACCAAATCCTACTCCGGCTCCTACTCCTACTGCGACGCCTACTCCTGCTCCTACAACTACAACAACAACTTCAACAAGAACCAGAACAATAACACCAACAAGAAGAAGAAGAAGAACAACAACAACAACAACAGCAGCAGCAGCAACAACAACAACTGCAATTACGACCGCTACGGCTGCGGCTACTGCAAACCCTAGTAGTATGTTCGATGACCACCACCACCACCACCACCACCACCACCACCACCACCACCACCACCACCACCACCACCACCACCACCACCACCACCACCACCACCACCACCACTTATTGTTGTTGCTGTTGTAGTGGTCGCAGCTGTCGTAGCTGTAAACATCGTTGTTGTTGTTGCTGCTGTTGTTGCTGTTGTTGTTGCTGCTGTCACTGCTGTTGTTGTTGTTGTTAGTGGTGGTGATGGCGGTGGCAGTGGTGGTGGTTGTTGCTACTCTGGCTACCTGCAAAGCATAATTTGTTTGACACCCAATACACGCACATGCGCCAAAGTGCCAATTGCATGTTCAGCGCCGAGAGGTCCCCCGCCATGCCAAGCGGCAGGCATGCCAGCCTCGGCTCGCAAGCTGCTTTGCAATTTTGGCGGTGTGGCGCTTGGAGTTCAAGGATCTAGGCCAGCGTCTCAGAGGCGCGGGAGAAAGGTTTAAGGGTTTATAGGTGCTTGCTTCCTCTGCTGCAAACCATTGCGACACGTTCAGGCAACACCTCCGGAACTGAATTTAAAACGCAAGCATCCGGCAGGCACCGTTTAGCCGAATTCAGACAAGCGTCGCAACCTTGAAGGCTCGCATGGTTGGTGTTTCACCAATCCCACAGCCCGACACTTTAGGTCTCTGGGACTTTCGAGCCAGCACTCGCTGCAATGCCAATGCATGGACCAGCAGGGCTGTCAAGGGCATTCCGATGTGACAGATCATGACTTGGAGTTGTGCTTCACGGGGCGTTGATTACCGCATCGGAGGCTACGTGGCGTTTTCAACACGCTCCAAACAAGCACCAAGGACACGGCATGACGGGTTCCAATGCTGAGGCGGCTGAAATTCGATGATCTCGGGAGTTGCAACTCTTTGAACATCCAGAAATCGGATCCGAACTGGACGGACTGATTGGACATTTTTCTTGATGACATCTCCAAGATGTAGCCCTACTGCTGCAACAACAGAAGCAAGAAACCTGAAACACCAAATCCTTGTTGTATGATACTACACTACACTATACTGTACCACTGCCTGTAGTGTACTACAGTATACGATATGTACTTGTGTATTTTACTATAGCATACCATACTATACTCTTGTGCATTACATTAAGCTTAACCCTGGCTGCCAAACACAGACCACCCGGAACGGAGCCTGGCCGCCTCAATGGCAACCTGGATGAATGCGTTTGGGATGGATAATTCCTTCTACCAGCACTCCTCTTTGCGGTGCTCCCTTCGTTGTCTATTAGAGTTGTCACTGTTAACTATACCAGGAAGGACTCGACCTGGAACCCACAACGGGCTCTACTCAACGTACGCTGTGCAGAGCTTGCACTACCTTATACGACCTTGAACCCGAAGTCCGAACCCTGGCAACTCTGACGACCTACACGGACCTCCGCAACCCTTAAAACTGAAGCCTAAAGAAGAGTTCCACAGGTTTAGACTATAGGGTTCTATGCAGCTCTGTAGAATGGTTATACTATAAGGGTTCCGTGGGGGTTACGAAGCTCAGATCTCTAGAAGGGAATTCAAGTGGTTTAGGGCGCTTAATTAGGGGTTGGAGTTAGGGATTGGAGTTGAAGGTGCGCCGTTTAGGGTTTAGATAGTTCTCTCAGACAGCTGCATGCCGTTTAAGGTCCCGATTGCAAGAGCGACAGGATCCGGATTTAGCTAGAACGCAAGGTTTAGGGTCTAGGGTTTAGGGGCCCCCGACTTCTGTTTCAAACAGCAACGACAGTAGTGCAAACGGCGTTCCTCATTGTCGCGGTCAGTCTCGCAAGGTATCAGGTACAACATTTGCATCCATGGTGAAACCTTTGGTAACGGTAGAAGTAGAGTGGAAACAAGAGTACGGATATTTACAGCCAGAAGCCGAGGTGTAGAAATCGTAGACACTGGTAACAATACCACCAGCAGTGAAACTATGGGGACTTCTGGAGCTGCCAGCCAGCGTCCTTGGGCATGAAGTTCCCCGACAGGTTGAAATTTGTATAGCAGGTGCTGGTGGTTAGGGCCCTTTTCTCCAGGGTGCCCCTTTTCCCCTGGTCCCCCCTGAAAAAAAACAAGCAAGAATTCATGATAACAATCAAAACACACGTCGGAGCTGCAGCACGGTGCAAATGAGGCATACTCGACGATTCTGTTCAATCTGCATCGATCCAGTGCTTGGTCGCAGAACCGCTACATCCGGGACTTCTGCCTGAAGCATCGCTAGTAGCCACACATGAAACGTACCCCATCCAAAACAGAAACACACACACCAAGACACAAGTAGACTCTAAACCGAAACCCTTTGCACCCGTAAGCCTAGACTTCAGGAGTCCTTAACAATCAGCATATCAAGCTATGACCCCAAATCCTAAACACTGTTAATTCTCCTGTCCTATATGCGGGCGCATGCATCGGTCTTCAAACAGTTTCGCAATGCTTTCTTTCCGTACTTTTCTAGCTAGCAGTACTTTTCCAGGGCTTTGTCAAATTGGCTCTTCAGCTTGTCCATGACAGTCTGCAGGACCTTGTGGAAGTGCTTGGTCTGCTTCTACGCACATGCCACCACGAGCACAGGCTTGCCATTGATCTTCTGCACGATGTAGCTCTTCTCAGCGAAATCCTTCATCACCAGTTTGAAGTCCGTCTTCACAGTCGGGTTGTTGGCAGCTGGGCTACCCTGAGCCGGCTGCTTCAAGATGGACTTTGCAGCTGCAGGCTTCTTGAAAGTTTTTCTGATCTCCTTCTTGGTGCAAGGGAGGTTCTCCTCGTCGTCCTGCTGTTTGAGCAACAGCTCTTCCTCGGAGTTCTGCTCTTGCTGCAGGGGGCAGGGATAATCGGCCAGCCCTTGGAATACGTGGTCACCTCCGACAGCGTCGGCTGCAACCTCCTTTTCCTGACTTCGCAACTCGGAAGATCATCCTGATCCGAGCTGCTTGCCTTCATCTTGCCAAACAACTTCTGCAAGGCAGCTTTCTGATACTGGGGTAGGCCAGACTGCTCAATGCTTTCGAGATCTGCGGCAACTTCTCGCAAGTGCTTCTGCAGAACCATGAGTTTATCTGCGATGTGCTGCGACCTGTCCTCGGCATTTTGCCGGCCACGTAGCACAGGATGCTTGTGCATGACATCAAGCACAGTGGGCTTCAGGTCCGAGTAAAGAATGCTGCAGGACGGCGACACCTCGATCAACACCGAAACCAACTCGCGCATGGCTGCTATGCTGGAAAGCCGAGGTCTGCAACTGGCCCACAATGTCTCGTACTCATGGAGGTGGAAGGGCTGATCACTGCTAAGGACATACTTCCGGAGCTTGTCCAGCAAATGAAACCTGGCTACGGACTCCTACTTGTAGTTCCGAGCACCGCCTTTCGTCTTTGCTGTCATGCTGGCGATACAAAAACCGAAGAGGGGTCAAAACATGCGCCAGCAAACGAGCTACTGTTCGAGACTACAACAGACATACGAAATACAGTTGCAGTGCCTAAGCTTGCGGTACAGAAGTTGCAGACATGCTTCGGCCCTAGTCTCAGCCATCGGATCGAGGCTGTCAATGGACACGGGCCCTATCCGAAACCAGGTCCCGATCCCGAATCTCCTGGCTACATATACATCTACATATACCCATATGTATTATATATATATATACACACAAATTTATGTACGCATGTATGTATGTAGAACTATGTAGGTGTTACATGGCCCCAGCATTGACCGCCCTACACCCCCCAAATATAATCAATAGGCACAACAATCAAAAACACGAACAACTCAATTACCCAATAAAAAATCGATCATTTCATCGCCACCAAATCAATCAACAGGGTGCACCGTAGTTCGATCACACGGGTGTGTTCTGCTGTTTGAACGCTTTTACAGGCGAAATCAACCAGCGAACGCTTTTTCGATCCTAGGCTCACTGGGAATGTGAGTTTGCGTATGTGAGATTCGCGTCATCTCAACCCAACCGAAGTAGTAGCCGAAAAAGTAGAATACTTCTTGTGAGATCCCTCAAGACACATTTCCGATGACATTTCCCCCGGCCCCTCCTTTGAATCTTGAACCACCAAGGCTGTTTGGGGTCAAAGCTGGGACAAGCTTGATCCTCCTCCGGCAAGCAAACGTCGAACCGTCGGTTAGACAAATAAGCACAGCCCCGTAACCCCCGTCTTGAGCATCTGACCATTGTCGCGGCAGCGGCGGCCACGAAAGCCCAGCTTGGCAGTCTTCAGTTTAAGCCGGCTATGCTTTCAGTTGCTGTTGGCAGCTTCCAATTGGTGCTGCAGGCTTCTGAAGCTTTAGTGGGCCGGGTCGAAGAACATTCCGAGCCTGGCAACGGCTGCGCCACTTCCGGCTCAGGTCACAAGATGGATGCGGATGACTTTGGCTGCCGCTTTGACTGTCTTGCTCAACAACTGGGTTCGGCTGCACCTCTCGGGGTCTGTGCGCGAACCCACTACCTTGAGCTTGAAGCCCGAGCTCGTCCGAGCTCCCTATTCAACATCTGCAACACCTGGATGTCCTCATCTCCAAGCTCCAGCGACCAAGCACCTCTATAGCCTCATGACAGCCTACCCCCCCTATATCACCAAACGAATCATTCAGTTGAATACCCGAGTCTTGTTTTGTCGCTTGCATCTTCGGCCTACTGTACAACGGCAGCTTCTCCCAAGAGCGCAAGCGCATCCAAGAAGCGCAAAGGGAATCCCTACGGGTCTAAGATTTCTTCTTGCTCTGGGCTCTGGAGCACAGGGCAAGGCCTGTCGGGATGGGGCGCACATCTAACGGCATAGTAGGCGAGCCCGACGCTGTTGCTCCCTAGCACTTCGAGGTGCCGTCTTTGAGATCCCAAAATCCCCAACAGCCAAACAAAAACCGCAACTCTGCATACTAATACTCCGATACAACACGAAACCCCACCCAGCAGTTACCAGTCGGTGAGTCTAGTACCATCCCAGATCCGCAACTTGCGTCTTGGAGAAGCTGCAGGGCAGGCGCAAGGTCTGACAACGAAAATTGTAGCACCCGGGGAGCTGGCTCAGAGCTGAAGCTTCGAATGAATACTGTATATGAACCCTAGAATTTCCAGGAATGAGACCGGCTTTTGGATGAATATGCTGTTCTCATGATTTCATGCTCAGCGGTGCGACTTTCTCGCATGCGCCTCAACAGATCGAGCTAATCGAGCTACTGTTGTAAAACTCGTCTCTACACCGTCGCCCCCCTCACAAGGTGGTTTCACAAAGCAGGACCCTTTTGTGGCACACTCAAAAAATACGTAGGATCCTCAATCTAAAGATCCACAAAGAAGGTATCCCTATGTTCAGAGCAAGCTCGAGAGACAGAGCCCGTGGGTGTTCGCACAGTTGGCTGTCTCTTCAGAGCCCGCGCCCTGGAAGAAGGGACCTGAAGATGAGGACATATGCCGATGCGATCCTATGCAGGGCTGCTTCCTTTCTTGGGCTCCGTGTTAGGGGTTAGGGTTGAGGTTGCCTTAAACTTGTCTGTTTATCATCCTCCGTCTCGGGGTCTTCACTGGTCGTGTGTACCGAGCGGGAGCGTGCGACTCAAGGCACGCGGCGAACGAACACCCCGCCCCCCGCGGTCACCGATGCGGTATGGCTTGTTATGGCCAGTATATGTAATACATGACATTTAATGTCAGCGCTTTCCTCCTGACTGCAGAGCCCCACGATGTAAACCAGACAGAGAGGACAAACCAGACAAACCTTGTACGAGTTGTATGCATTGCTTCTACGAAGGTAGATTACCAGTTCAACCTGTCATCCAGGCAAATGTGTGGTCAGCTAGGATCCTTGACTCAAGTATACGAATCCCAAAAGGGATCCTGTTTAGATAAGTGCACGGAGCCCGGCTGGATGCGGCTCCAAGGCGTTAATCTTTGGCTTGAGGCTGAAATCGCTTGAGTCATACTTTTATCGCATGTTTATTTCCGACTTGGCCTTAAATAAGGGGTCGATTGCGGCGTGGAGGATCTTACCGTCAATTCCAGGTTGGTGGCCTGCCGGGATTGACTCACGTCACGAGCTGTGAGTTACAAGCCCGAAGCCTTCCAACCCGAGGCCAGGGCCTCCCCACCCCGCTGTGCCCTTTCCACGCCTGCTCGGCCGCGTCCTCAAAACCTGGTGCGCTTACCATGCAGTGGCAATGGGTCCATCGTGTCTGAATATTCTTGAGCAGGTCGTAACTTGTTGAACTCGTGCTACCTTTTTCAACAAGAGCTTTTTCGAAATGTCGCGGTGTCCGGGAAGATTAGCATGCTGAGGGCATTGCTGCATTCCATTTGGGTGACCAGAATCCGAGAATCGGAATTTTGTCACCTCGTCTGCCTCAAGAAAAGATTTGCCTGTAGCCTGTGCAGCGCCGACCTTTCATAAGGACTCCTCACTAAGGTCTTCCATGTCTGCAGACCTTTCTAAGAGGGCCTTACGGTTTAGCAGGGCTTCGGGGGTCGGATCTAGATGGTCTTATATGAATAAATCTAAAGCCTGTTCTTTAGGGTATGTGGGGACAGGGCACGCAGCTTTTCGGGTTGGTGCATTCAATGACAATGGTGACATACCAAACTTACAGACAGTCACATGGTGGACGGGGCCCTATATAAATCCTAAACCCTACCGGGTCCCCCGACGGCTGGTTGCACAGTGGGCAGGTCGTCTTATTGGAGGACCGGAACCACTGGTAGAGGCACCTCGGTCGTCTTGTTGCTAGGTAATTGAGCTGCTATGAAGCCTTGCTCTGGCGATCAACCGCCTCTATTGGCTTAAATGTAACTTTCGAGTGAACAAGCTGCGGGCGGTGTTTACGACGGCTTCTCTTTGGTTTCTTGCCCGGTCCTCAACTGATGGACTGTGGCTTTTGTAAACGCAACCCGAAGCCTCATCCGAGCCCAACAGCTTAGAAGCCCCAGATTCCGGAAGGTGCCACGAGCACTATCGGATTGGGTGGCGAGGCTGCAAACTTCATGGTTTACAGCTTACGGCTACAACAGTGCAATATTCGTTACTTTAAACTTTAAACTCTTAAACCGTTGACGCGGTGAAGACTGCAGGGTTTGGCTTCCGGTGTGTCAAGGGATGACATGCTATTCAGTGTGGAGGCTGTGGCCTAACAGCAGCAATCCTTGGGGTCTTGGTTTTGGCTCTCGGGTTGTGATTTGTCAGGCACTACCCATGGCAACCACCATCGGAACTCAGGGTTAACGATTGTTGGTGGCTGCCAGGCCAATCTTTTCAGTGAGCTGTTGAGCAATGCTGCGCTGAAACACTCCACAGAAACCCCTTTAGCACTGCAGAAGGGCATGCCCAAACCCTGAACCCCAAACCCTGAAGCACAAAGTTCTGAGGTACCGGATCCTAGGATCCGGGTCTTCTGGGTTTGTACGGCAGGAAGCACTGAAGGCTGAAGTGTGTAGCAAGTGTGACTTAGCAAAGCTTGGCGGAGAATCTCTTTGAGTCTTCAAGTTCTTGGGGTTTTCGACAGGGGCCTTGTTCATTACAATTGTCGAATGTATGCCCCCTGCACAAGGAGGTTAGGCATGAGGCCAAACATGAAATGGAGGCTTTTCCCCAGGCAAGACTACATCCACTAAACCACAACTCTCAATGGGCTACTGGTCGCCATCCCCGCTCTTCGACAAAGCCAGGATTTCCGAACTCTTCTTCCGACTCCTGCCCTGAACCGGGACTATTTAATTTGACCCGTGCAGTGCTGCAACCCTGCATGACGAATCCCAGGTAACAACCTTTGTAAAACATCAAAAATCCCACAAAAGCATCTCCTTGCACTGAGTGCTAGGCTCGTTGTGGAACTTGTGCTTGCAGGTTGGGCAGGCCTGTCTGGCTTGCAGCGAAATACAAGCTCCCTCAACAGGCAGTATGGCAAATAGATCATAAGCGGCAGACAATGCGTGCCAAGCCCGCGTCATGGCTTATGCTTTGCAGTTTCGTGTGGTTTAGAGGGCAAGGCTCTCTATTGGACATGATTCTGGGCTTGGGCCTGCACGAGAACACGAAACTTCAAACACCCGCCCTCAGATTCCATATAGCCTTGAGCAATGCTTTGCAAGTCGTGCCCCACGAAGCACGGAGCATGACTGTTAGTGTCGGAGCACTGTCCTCCTCCCCTTCTATGCTGGTCATAATGCAGGTTATAGCATTCGCACCTTACCCCGAGCTTGTCTGACAAAGGCATGTTGGCACCATTCACATTTTCGGGATGGGTCAGCAGATGCTCCCACGCCGGCCTTTCTGGGAATCGTCTGCGTCGTGAGCTGGATCACATTGTAGCAGATGGGGCAGTCCTCAAAAGATCTCTCAGGTTCTTGGGTCGTCGTTTCGGGTCGTCATTCCAAACAAGCGGATTCATGGAGGCCATGACCCGAAGACGGCGAAGAGAAGCGCCATGGAGCCAAACTGCCCGATCGGTCGCAGAAGTGGGAACGGTGCGATACGAAGGGTCTAAAGAAGGCCACGGCGGAATTGTGGAACTCTTCAGGCAGGTGCAGTGCAAGACCCTTGAAAGCATTGCACAAAGCAGCCAGTGACTATGACGGGTGAAGACGAAGACACGGCAACAGTAGCACCAGCAACCAGAATCACAAGCCAAGTCCAGAAGCCGTAAACGAAATAGACCAGGCGTTCGCAACAGTGGGAGAAACAAACTGTGGCAAACGCGCAAATTCCGAATCTGTTTAGGTCTCGGGGTTCGGTAAACTCTATGCAATCGAATCCTAGAGTCCTGTCCACATGCCGAGGCACCCTGAAGTCAGCTGACACCAGATCACACAGACAACTCTCGAAGAATTCCCCTCAATACCCTTCGCCCTGAAGCATGGACAACAAGACTTTAATCGAAGCACGAGTCACTCGCCGCAATGAAGTTTACCCTCATAAGAAGCCAGCAAGTGAGGTCCTCAACGCCCTTGAAGAAAAGGGCGAAGCTTTTCGACCACCTTCCGCTGTAATTTAATGGAGGGAGTGTCAAAAGAGCGAGGGTTGAATCCCAACACGTTACTTCTTGAGCGGGGTGTTGGTGCGCTTGGAAGTGAAAACAGAAAACTGGGAGGGAGACGGAGAGAGAGAGAGAGAGAGAGAGAGACAAACAGAGAGAGAGCGAGAGTGTGAGAGCATGCGAGCGTGCATCTGCACGCTTACCTGACCTGAGCGAAAACACCAATGCGTCCCTCGTGTGTGCGAGGGAGCCCTGTTTGCATGTCACATGGGGAGGTCCGTGCAGTGGCACATTCCATCTTTACACACCCAAAAGGCGAACTGTAAAGCATAACCTGAAGACCTTCATCCCTATTGGCCTTCTGGCCTGGACCAAGGCCTCTATCACCAGAGTTTTCCAAACACGGAAATGCTAATACATGCACAGATCTCGGAGAACCGAGAAAGACTATACACGAGGGTAAACAATAGGACCGATCCCAGACTCCTCAAAGCGAGAAGAGATCTCGGTGAGTTTTCTTTGCTCCCGCTCCGCAACCCCCAGACCACAAGATTGCACATGACACGTGGCCCAACGGGTTTTCAGATCTGCAAGACCCTACAAAATCGTATGGGCCCCTTGATGATTAGAATAGGATGGGGTTTGGGGTATATTATGTGATATTTACCATAAGGAACCCTGACGAATAGTGTCATAGTAATTAATCAAGGCCCCCATTGTATTCTACACTGTCCGGCTCTTCGACAGCCGAGGGGCATCAGCACTGCCTTGCCGACTGACATCGGGCGAGAACCACTGAGTAGCTGCCGAGCCTCGCGGCCGGTTGCATAGCCAGGAATCTTACTGCAACTGTATAATAATCATAAGCATAGGGTTGAATATGGTTGGTTGTATAGGGTACTGAGGGTATGGTATGTACAAGTTGAGATCTCGGTTTGCCGCAAGAGCGCGGTGCATTCGTGAGGGCAGGGACAGATTCGGATAGATGCTTTCGCATTCTAATTCTATCCGGACCAGTATGCGACTGAAGTGGTGGGGAGGGTTTCGGGAAAGCCCACAACTCCGTTCTCCCGCTGCTACGACAGCTACCACTCGCTCCTCCTCTATCACTGCCAGGTCTACGAGTGCCTAGTAACACTTAGACGACGACGCCGACGACCTCCGCCTCCTCCTCCTACTACGACGAATGCATAAGAATTTCTTAAGATTAACAACATAATAACAAGAGTAACAACAAATTAAATAGCAGAAGTAGAATTACGAATAAGACGACGACTACCACTACGACCAGTCTGACCAGTACTACAGTTGATGTCCGTGCCTGAAGCATCCAGTTCCGGACCCTGGGTTTGGGAATGCCAGGCCTCGGCGAGGGGCGTCCAGTGGGAGCTCAGACATGCTGGGTGCTGGAAGAAGCAAAAAGCTTGACATACGGGTTCTGGACATTGAGCATCGGGTAGCTTCAGACCTCATTTTAAGTCGTAGGTCTGACACCCTTATCACTGCTGCTACTCCATTATGTTGCTCTTTTCTATGGGAGCCCAAACTTTCAGATAACCGATTGCGGGCGGCACGACTTCGGAACTACAGCTACGGACAACCGTAGCTGGCGGTTTGCGCATGTCAAGATTCTAGTGCATGGGGCTTCCTGGAATCTAGACCGTGGAAGAAAGGTCATAAACTCTAGGCTCCAAGCCCCAAACCCTAAATCCATAAACACTTGCCGCAAAGCATGGCAGCCACGCTGTTTTTGTCACCAAAGTCCCAACAGCTTCGCACTCCGGGATGAATCGGCTGCTGCCTGGAGCTTGGCGTTTGGAGTTTAGCTCTCGGCATGCTTCTTGGGGACCTCGCCTCCCTGGTTACATGTCAACGTAATGATTTCAAGCCAGGAAGTGCTAAGCTGCGCACCTCTGTAGCAGTCGGCCATAGTCGGCTGGCTTGCCGAAAGAGAGGGCACTTCGGGAAGTTCGGGTAAAGAGCAGGGTAGGTCGAAAATTAGCCTCCCTAAACCCTAAAACCTCCCACTTCGACGAGCCGAAGGCACTCAGCATGGATCATGGCCATGGCTGGCTCGGCCGCGGTTCGCGAGATGTCGATGTCGGAAGCTGGATCTGACAGGTCGGACTTTAGTTAGGACACAGAATTTATGGCCCTCACTGCATCTTGAACCCTGCACCTCCCTCAACTCCCTCAACCTGCACCCCCAACATCAACATCCGATCTGAGCCACAATTGCTATGGCATCAAACCATCATCCAACACCCGCAGCTCGAAGACTCAATATTTAGACCCCCCATACAACTTCTGCAAGTGGGTTGAGGGTATCTAGTACGCCAGGAACGCTCCAAACCCTAAACCCTCAACTCTTGACCCTTAACCCAGACCTCAAAACCTGAAGAATACTAGTGTAACATGTATCCAGACGTCTACAATATTCCTGCTCGCCTGGCGGCAGCACCTCGCCTCGCACCAGCACCTGGTTGGCTTTGGAACGTCCCACGTTCTTCTCTTGGAGTGTGAGCAGGGTGGTGGGACAAAACATGCGCAAAGCTTTAACTGCGATCCTTATGCCTGAATTCGGGACTGTTGCACAGATATCGGGATGAAGGGTAACCGGAAGTACCGGACTCTTGGTGTAGTGCAGGTCTGATGGGTCACACCAGATGCGTCACCTCCAATGCCCCTGCAGAAGCCCGGCAATCTCTAGAAGCCCTGCTGAGGAGAACATACAGCTTAGTCGGGTACACTTCAGGGTCAGGGCAAGAGCATTTTCTGGAGCCCCAGATCTCCTTAGGTCCCGACCGGGAGACAGGAAGACTCAGAATGTGCGGGGCCTAGAGAACCCAAGGCCCAACCCTTCTTCCACATCCCAGCATCCTGGAAGCCTGGAAACCTGCATACTTTGGCGGCCTTCGGTACCTCGTCGACAGGGGCTGCCAGGTGCGGACAGGCATGCCTTCGCTTGAAAGCTTCGAAGTTGAGACCGCAGACAAGACTGAGTTGTTGGCTTATGGCTTCAGGACTTTACGGTGTTCGTGTCTCATGTGCTGGCAGCGGCTCCTGATCGGGAGTACGTGTAATACGCAAGTGATCCAAGAGTATACTTCCTGCCCCGGGCCAAAGTAGCTTCCACCTTACCTTTTCCCTGTTCAGGTTTCTGGTATGTCTGGTTTTTCTCAACGGATCATGTGGCACTAGGATCCCGCTCACATGTCCTTGAAGCAAGGAGCTCAGTCAACACCTACAGCAGTTTAAGCTCAAGCAGGACTCCCTCACGGTTTCACCACTAGTAGGACCATACTTCACGAGGACCTCGCAGAAACATGTAACTAAGTGGATTGATAGTCTCCTTGCATCACGCCCAGATTGACTGCTTCTTCAACCGCTAAGTTGCACGCTAAGTTGCACAAAGAAACCTAAAACCCTGTCGAAGCTTCTCGCCCGCTCGTGAGGGCAGGTTGCGGCATCAGCAGCAAGCGCCCGCGCGCAGGGCTCACTGCAGCAACCTGGCACGGAACCATTCCAACTCTCCTTTGGACCCAGATTTTGCGTATGGAAGAATTTGCATGTCCACTGGAACAGAACTTAGCGAACCTAGGCTGATATTCGACTAGGTGTTCGGGCTTTCGGGCTTCATTGAGTTTATGGCTTGGTAAGTATTGTCTGGGCTTCCACAGGGTGTTGTGATTCCAACTCCTAAAGGCGACATGGGTCATATGCTTCGGAAAACGCCTGCATCTCCTGCTATAGAGACCTTAATTAGAATAGGGTTTTGGGGCCCATTATACCATAACTATAAACTATAATAAGGAACCCCCAAAATAGTATTATCTAAGCCCCTATGGTAATACCTCACAAACTAGGCGAGGAGCACTTCGTAGCATTGTTACGCCTGGGGCCTCTTGGGCCAGGCTTTCGAGAACTATTGGAGGTGATCTTCATTTGTAGGTACTATGATATAGGGGCCATAATAATTAGAATAGGAGGCTCCTTTTTGGGATCTATATAAGGGATTTGGGTCCTTCTACCAAGAATCCTGCTATTTAGCGATGTAGATTACGCTGCCTCCCAACAAACCTGACTGTGCCGCGAGTGCAGAGATACTCCAATAAACCACAAAACCACAACTCCTGAAGCCTTGAACCCTTAAACCCCAAACCCAACAATGTAGGGCCGGTAATGACTAGACACAGGTTAAGGGGGGGTGCAATACAATTCTCCAATTATACAAGGACTGAAAGGCGACACCACCGGTAATTCTTCAGACCCCTCTATGAGGCAATACGGTAATGTAGGGGCCTTCATCATTCGCAGAGGGTTTTGGGGTGTATTAAAGTACAGTTGTTGAGTCATAGAGGAACTATGCCCTGCAATATAGGCGCCTTAATCATTCGAAAAGGACCTTGGGGTGTATTCACGTATAGTTGTTAATTGTGTTTTTTTTATACCCTAAGCCCTATACGGGATAATATCACCTTCAATTTAAGCCGCGGCCTCCGCTCTCTCGCCCGGGGCGAGGCCACCGCTAGATGCCAGCGTCTCGTCCCCTTCCAAACACTCCAGGAAGGTCGTCTCACCTTTCCAAGGGTTTCGGGTTGATGATGGCCTGCTATGGTTCAGGGTTGAAGAAGGTCTACGGTTAGGCTTTTCTTTGAAGGTTCAGGGTTAAGGATTGGTGGGGTTTAGATGGGCAGAGGACTCATGTAGCATTGTTCAGCTTATTGGGGCTCAGGATTCAAGGTTTGTTGGGTGAGTGTTTCTGGGTTTGGGGTTGCGGGTGGTTAGGGCATAGTGTATGACGTTTTGGGTTTGGGTATAGGATCTGGGACAACGGTGCGAAACACCCATTCCTCCCTGGTTGCAGGGCGACTGTTGACTCTATGGGCCATCCGCCGAGATGCCACTACGAGAGGCATAACTATTCTGTTGAAGCATCAACTTTGTCTGAGGCTTGGCAGGCATGGAGCCTCTGGCAAAGCATTGTCGGGGATCTAGAGGTTGGCATCATTTCCAGATCTCGCAGTCCCAAAGGCCTAGGAGGAAGCCACCTTCTCAGTGTTCAAGCATGCATGGATTCCAACGACGGTCCGAGGCACCACCACTCCGGCAGTCACCTGGGCAAGCAACTGGATGCAGGATGAAGGGTTGATAGGTGACAGCATTTGGATATAATATAACCATCCAGGCAACATGTCATATGACTAACTTTGCAGCATCGGCGCTGAGGTAGAGCAGGAACGTGTATGTGGAGCGAAGCTTCCCCTCCGTCCTGGCGAGGTCCACGTGCGCCGGGAGGAAGCCTCCTGGAGCGTGGCGCAGCTTCAAGGCTCCAGCAACGGGTCCAGGGCTGATGGTGGGGCTTTGCGCGTATTCGAGCGGACGATGCCCCTCCTGGCTCCGGGTAGATCAAGAAGCGCATGTGCGGCATCGCTGCCGCTGCGTCTGCGAGCTGCGCAGCTCGCACTGCTTCGTTTAGCGCGCCGGTGAGCCAGCCCTCTACCTTGGGCTGGGGTCTGCAATCTCTGAGATCGAAGAAGCCCCCGAACCCAAACCATACTTCATCACCCCGCACCAGTGAATCCATATTCACATGTTGAAGGCTTTCTTTCGCGGCTGTCGCGCGTGTTCTGGGATGAACATGCGATTGGTTATGGGTATCCGAAGGTGCATTAACGACCTGCTCACCAACCAGCCAAAACCGTCTTTTTTACCCCTGAGCATCGAAGCTGCATCATGGTAGTAGGCTCGATCGGTGGGAGAGGCCTTCTGCTTCGGCGCGAGCGGCAGCCTCTTGCATACTGCAGCCCCGGTTTGTGGCTGAGGATTTAGGCATCTCGGGTGTTGGGTGAGATTTCAGCGGACTGTTGCAGTTGAGGTCTTTGTTGGCCCGGGCCTCTTCCACAGCTCGTCTAGCCGTGCCAGAAATGATTCATCGAAGAAATTGTCCACCACCGTAGTGCCGGCGCCAGCGTGGCCCACTCCCAAGGGGATGACTCTGGTCACCTCGAAAGCAGTTCAATTTTAGTTCACATCTTCCCATGCCCAGCTTTACCAAGCCTTCCACCAGGAGCCGTGGCAAAACGACTGTCGGGATGTGGCTGGAAGTTGCGGCTTGACTCCCCAAGCCACACCCCAAAATCAACAAACGCTTTTCCAAACCACGAAGGCCGACCAACCCCTCTGGCCTGCACCTTCTCGCACCTGCAAGCCACGGGCAGCCGGGCCGGGGAGCCGTAGCCGGACATCTCCGGGCTGACCTGCGATTCCAAGTGGAACTTGCAACTCGGCCATCGCAATTTCTCGGCCGATACTGGTAGCACAAACTAGCCATGGCGAGAAGGACAGGTATAATGACCACTATCGTTGCCACAACCATGGTTGTCATCGTCATCATCGTCACCACCATCACCATCATGTTTAGGAGCTCCAACAACATCATAGCGGTGTGCTCCAACGTCACTTTGATTCCACACTGGCTCAGTGTCCGTCATCTGCATCAGCATGATGACTGGTCAAAACAAAGCGAAGGTTCTGAAGTTCTCCAGGTTAACAACAGATGATGTGACACAGCATCAGCATCAAAAGATGATTGTCTTTAGCAAGGGCAGCGGCAACACCATCATCAACAACAGCAGCAGCTAACATCACAACGATTCTCTCCGCGACAGCAGCCTCGCCACCATTCTGGATGGGCCCATTGCCGCCATCACGCACCCGAAAGTCTAAAGCTCTCCTCCTACAACCCGTGTTCTTCACCCAAGCCTGTGCACGGCAGAGCTAAACTCGACGCCACAGACTTTTCGAAACTCTCAACTTTCCGTCCGTTGCCTATCATATAACATGCTAATATAATACCTAGGTAAAGTGTATACACAAACCTATGTGGCTGTCTGACCTTGCAAGCAAGCAACGACATCAGAGAACGGCTCTCACAAATCAGTGGCCTGAGCTCCCGCCGCCGCAAGCGCGGCCATAGCTTCGCGACTTCCTTTCAACTGGGCTGCCCGGCACGCACCTTGGGGTGTGTTTGAAGGCCTTCTGTTGTTTTAAAATTGCTTGTCCGGTCTAGTGCACAGGGTTCGGTCATAGTGGAGGGTTTTGGCTTTCGCTGTGTTGTTCCTTGGTCTACGGGATACGGTCCACATGACGCTCTGCAAAGTCTTTTTACGGGCCTGTTGTTCAAAGTCTTTTTGTGGCCCTAGGCCCTAGTTCTGATATAGCTTATTGATATAGCGTAGTCGGAGCTGGTGGAGGTCCTCCAGGCGGATTTCACAAAACCTGTTTGCGCGTGTAACTAGCAGTCCTGAGTCCTGCTTCCGTCAATGTCGGCATAAGCAAGAATGCAAAACCCTTCTTCCAAAGCCTTCGGCTTTACGATGCCTCTGGGAGAGCTTGCTCTACCTTGACATATTTTGTTGACTGTTTTATGAGCCAACAGCTGGAACTCGAGGACCATGGTGCCGGTTGCAATGTCATGGAAGCACACAGTGGCTTCCGCGTACCACAAGACGACACCACTTGAGCATAAAACGAGATGCCAAGCTTGAAGCAGATCACAGCAACACAAATTCATACAGGCACATTTTGCTTACAGGAAAGGATCACATCCGAAGCTGGATCTCTAGCTGACATGGCTCTGTATCAACATGCAGCAACCATGCTGTCGAAACGACTTTTTGTGCTTTTTCCGACTTTTTGCTGCTGAAGTCATCGCAACAAACAGCACTTAGACCATTACGGCATACTGGCGGCTCATAAGACAGTCGAAGGTGCAGGCATCGGTCTTTGCAGCCTATATCTCTGTATGTTTATAATCAATTTTGATGAACAGGGTACACTAGCCGGAACAGAATCAGTTGCTGTGAGGCGATTGAAAAGGACAAGAAACAACAGCGGCGAACGACACCAACAACATAATAGCGAAACAACTGTCAGGCAACTTTTTCGGATAACGCAACCACATCCAAGTAAACTTCATAGGCCTAAAACAACCAAGCAGAGTAGAAGGTTCGGGCTACTACAGCCCAGGCACTCAGTTAAACATCGAGCATTTTGCTTGGGAGGCCCTTTAAAACCGCCATCTCCATTTATTAGACCTGGAACGCAAAGAGAAAGCTGGCCGAGGTATGCCGAGCTACTTAAGCCTGCATTGTCGCGAATGGTGTGGTCGGCCCTCCGCGACAAGAGGACCTGGATCACCTGACGAAGGGCTAACAGGATCTTTGGAACTCTTCTCGGGATCTCTACACGAGCGTTAACGACGACACCCGCAGGAACTCAGTGCGTGACGCAACCGAAAGCCCGGAGACAGCTCCGGAGACCCAACATGCGCACCTCGGATGAGCCCGCCAGTGCAGCCAGGAACGTGGCGGTCTCGCCATACCTTTGCGGCTCGCAGTTAACGTACTTGGGCCCCTGAGCCTCAAGTCTCGTGAGGGTCGCAAGAGTACCTTGAGTTGTGCGCTGTGGTGCTAGGCTGTCTGTTTATTTGTAAGGCTCCGAAACAAATCCTCGAAATCTGGAGCCATCCGGATACTCGTTCGGCACATCCAGCAGAGCACCCTTGTCCAGGGCCTCGCATGAAAAGAAGAGGGTAACTTCAAAAGGCGCCAAAATACCAAGACCTTCTACATCCGAACCTGCTAGGCCAGTTAATAGGTCCGGAGTCTGGTTACGGTTCCTCAAGAAGCCCATGCCCAAAAGCACTCACCATTGCAGGCTTGCTGATTCTGGGGTTGTAGTTCACATCTTCGCAGCCACTAGGAACGCTGGATGCATGTGTTCCAACACAGCTGTTTATGGGACCCTGGCCAACTTGCATAGACATGAAATTCTAGGATGAAAGAGTCTGCGAATACGAGCGGGAAACCGTGTCCCTCAAGGCACCTGGTGCAAAAACCCACCCAGAAAAGGGGCCGTCAACACAGGTTGCGGCTACATCGCCCTGCGTGCAGGCAGGCGACAAGAGAAAGGCCCCGGAAGAGCAGGGTGCGGCCTTGCCGCCCCCCGGCTCAGTCAGGCGACTATGGCGCGAAAGTAGAGTGTGCAAGGCAAAAAAGCCGTGAATCGAAAGTCTGCAGGCTACTGGGAAACTGGATGCCCTCCAAGCTGTGGCTAAACTCTTCGCCCAAAGTCAAGTTCAGCAGGCTGCTGGGTAGTTCGATGCCTCCAGGCTCTGGTTGAACTTCTCACCAAACGTCAAAGTCCACAGCGTGCTGGGTAGTCGAATGCCCTCCAGACTCTGGTTGAAGTCGCCGCCAAACGTCGAACTCTGCAGGCTGCTGGGTAGTTGCACGCCCTCCAAGCTCTGGTTGAAGAGCTCGCCAAACGTCAAACTCTGCAAGCTGCTGGGTAGTTGGATGCCCTCCAAGTTCTGATTGAAGTCGCCGCCAAATTTCAAAGTTTGCAGCGTGCTGGGTAGTTGGATGCCCTCCAAGTTAAACTTTTTGTTAAACTTTAACTGCTGCGGGCTGCTGGGCAGCTGGATGCCCTGGTTGAGGCTTTGGCTGGAGTTCCAAATGAGTGCTTTCGTTTCGTGTTGGGCAGCTTCATCGGACAGAGTCTTCCCCGCGAGTAGGCGCTCCCAAAGCATGGCGACATTACCCGCACCAAGCTTGCGCACCAAGTACCAGATCTCTGGGTGCTGAACTTGATGCAGGAGCAGCTGGCGCTGATTGATGACACGGCCACCGGATGTCAGCACGAGGCCCTCTTCAGGATGACCAACTCCCTCTGCGATGCGTAGCGCTGCATCCCACCCGGTTTCGCCTGAGTTGACCTCCAGCTCAAAGCTGGAACCTGCCAGGCAATGGACGGTCGCTGGTCTGCTTCGTCCTGTCCGGACCGGCCTCTGCAGGCTGCGGGACGCCCAAGATCTGCTTCATGGCGCTTTCGGACGCATGATATCCGCCATGGCGATCCATGGCGTTCGTGGTGGTTCCCTGAGGCACCAAGATCAGAAGCCCGGCTTTTGGGGGGGGCAGGAAGCGAGCTAAGGGTTTAGGATTCAACCTTTGTGTCTGCACCGTCTTTTTCTGGCGCGTGGTTAAACACCAGAGCAGATGGAACGAGGGAAAGCTGAACAACAGAGGCAAGGCTTCGGTAGGACCCTTGACATTCTCGGTTCGCTGAACAGCCAGAAGCCATGGAATTCCTTCTCTCAGGAAGCAAAGACCTCGGAGATCCAAGGTTTGCAGCCTGTCCAAACTCTTCGAAGCTCCAACTGCCTTTGACATCGTCATGCATTGGAATCAGCTCACAACGAGAGTGGGCAAGCAAGCACTTTGGAGCTTGATTTGGAGTTTTTGGGGATCAGAAACGGTCTTGAGTCTTGCTGTGATGTACTTGGAAGGCCACCCTTCGGAAGCTCCTCCTCTGCCGGCCATGCCTCTCAGACTTATTGCCTTCTCTTCCACGCACCCCCGGCCCTCCCTCCTCAACCATGGCAACATCCTTCATAAACCCTCGCGGCCCCACTTCACCGCTGAACCGGAATCTTAAATCCGAAACCTGTCTTGAAACCCATACTTCCCGCGATTCCTAAAGCCGGGCCTCGACCACGCCAGGAGCGTTGCCGGCCTGCGCTGCCTCCGCCAGCTCCGCCGCAAGGGCCGAGCGCGTCGCGCCACGTGCCAACCCCGCCAGGAAATCCTCAGAAGCTGATGTATATTAAATATAGGAGCAATCGCGGCAATAAAGACGATCTAAATTCAACTTCGTCATCATGATCAGAAACATCTTCATCATCACCAACCATCGTCATCGCATAAGGCTTCATAGTTGTAGCGCCCAGGACATGAGCTTGAAGCTATAAAGCTGAATGCACAGCCTCCCACTGTCATATCCGGCCGGCTGAATGCGGCTTTTGAAACCAAAAGCTTAACAAAGTCTTAAGCAAAGTCCTTCATGAATTCTGCAACGAGTACCATTTAGCCCAAGATTGCAAACCAATGCCCAAGACATCCCAAGACTGTAAAACCTCAATCTTGTTTTTTGCAAGAAAGATCCTCATGCAAACTCCTGAAGATGCATTCGGAGGACCTGCCATGGCTGGCATGCCTCGGCACGCACGCGCGAATCGATCTCTGCGCGCATCCGCGCAGCCTGTCATTGAGAAGAGGGGTTGGTACGTGGGGGTTATCCCATGTCAGCTGTCCTGATTGCAGATTGTTTCGCCGGTACCTGTCTGAAACCCTCCAAAATCCCTTACTGTCTGTATCTTCCGGAACTCCAAAGCATCTGATTGGCGTTCGGGGTCTTGGTTTTGTGGTTAAGGTCGTGGGGTGGGCTATACTAGGGCATGATCACCGAAACTGTTTCAAAAACCGAGAAACGCTCATGGAAACCCTGCAAGACCCTCCTCTCGAAACCCCTCATGAAGTCTTTTAAAGAATGATTCTTTCGGAATTGTGGAACAAGATCCCGGCTGCCTCGCCGGAATCGACCTGGGCAGGTCCTCTCCTGGGAGGGGTCTCGGGCCCAAGATCTTGGAGTATCTTGGAGTGTGGGCTCTGTCGGGTTTCGAGTTTACGGGTTCAAGGATTGAAGGGTTTGGGCCCAGGTCCCCGGAACGCAGGGGAGGGGCGGGTATAATTATTGGCTTGACTACCTGTGAACGAGAAGCGAGCCACATTGATCGCCACGCTGTATTAAATGGCTGTGGGTGGAGGCTGTGGCCTGTTCGCGCGGGTTGAAGGATTCGAGGGCAACTTCATCGGAAGCTCTGAAGAAAATTTGCATGGTTCTGACCCAGCCCATGTGACCCATTCCTCGTTGTGTAGCACTGGTGCCACGTTCCCAACTGCTTCGCTGATGGTTGACGAGCTTGCGTAGCCGACCCTACTCCTGCCTCAGCTTGTGCAAAAACAGCCTGTCGAAGGTCCCAACAGGATGTCACACGGCGAAACGCATGAGCTTGGGAGAGTTCGCTTGGTCATGACAGGTGCCGAAGCAGACAGTCATTTGGCATCTACCTGCTTTACGGCAGCTCCACTGATCTCACAGGCTTTTTCACAACGTCATGGCAAAGAACCCAGAAGGTCTGCATGCAAATATTCGACGCCGTCACGGCTTGCTTGAAACGTCTGCGCTGGTTTAGCGGCAGCAGGGACAGTAGCCCCGGAATGTCGCATTGATGCAGCTCCACCACGAATTGTCACGTGCATCCTGCATGGCAGGGTCGAAATGTGCATTCACGGCTTCCGTTTGGGCCACAGCTTGAGTCGCCTCATCAATCTTGTTTTCCAGGTCAAGCCTGTTGTTAGTGTCCATGGACACGGACGCATCAGAGCCCGGAACGCCGCCTGCATGATTTCTGCGGTTTCTTTGGATCCGGGCCCTCTTCTGATTTTCTTTTGCGACCCTGGCCTTCTCCTCCTTGGCCACCTGCCAAGAGGCTTTGGACTCCTAGGCCTTCCTCTGCTTCTCTTTGATTTTCTCCCTCTTCTCATTCTTCTCCCGGTTCCCAATCCCTTCCGAAAGAATTTTCCGTGCTGCGGCTCTTTCAGCAGCTAGTTGTGCCCGGGCTTGACGCAGCTTCTTCATGGCCTGGGACACCTCTCGGGCATCCTCCTGACGTACGAGGAGTTCCTCCACGGAAACTTCCTGGTAAACTTTGCCTTTCTTGTTCTTCTCATCAAACACTTGTTTGAGCATCTGAAAGGCGCTTGAAGCACCATCCAAGTGGCACTTGTCCGGATGGATAACCACAGCCATCATCCTATACTGTTTCGCCAGATCCTTTCCTGCTTCAAAGACCTCCGCTCCCCTCAAAAGGTCGCGGATGAGTTGCTGCGCCATGGTCGGAGCGAAATCACGAATTGTGTGCGCGTGTGCGTGTGTGTGTGTGTGTACACATGCATGTTGAAAGTCTGAGCCTACCACATGGTTGGTTCACAAAGAAAGAAACCTCACACGTGCAATGTGCCGTCACAGCGGGCCACAATTGCAAATCAACCCGTGGCAGAAGCATTTGCAAGGGCAACTGGCTTCGAATGGTCTAAGATGTGAGTCGTGGGTGTCAAGTTGCACGTAGCAAATGAGACGATCAGATCAGTGAGAAGTACGTGTCCATAGCATATTAGCTGCTGCATATCCCCCCGACCTTGCCCTGACCTCCGATTCTATCTCCTGCACCACTCCTAACTTCCAAATCCTTCAGAACATGGTGACTGCTCTCGATCCAAAACCAAGAGAATCTCCAGAACCTATCAAGACCAAAGCACTGCCTGATAAGCAGCCTGATATAATCTTATACGCACCCTTTCAACCTACAAGGCCTCTCAGGGCAAGTCGCCAGTCCGCGCTTGCTGGACCAAGCTCGACGGCCTCCAACGCGATGGCCTTGCCAGACTTCGTATTGGACGCTGTGAACTTTGTGAATTGCGGACGAAGGCTTCGGGGTCTGCGGCTTGGACGAGAAGGACGACTAGCCGAAAATGGGCGAGCAAGGGTTCCAGGCGGGCCGGACGTAAGGTTTGTAGGCTCAGGATGTAGGGCTTTAGGATTTTTGGAGGATGTTAGACTTTCCGTACATCCTCATCCACCGTCCCAAACCGAAACCTGTTATGGCCTTAATGTTAAATAGGTTTAGCACCCGGACGAAGAGGAATGCCCTAGTTGGCACACAAGAAGCTCCACGCCCTTGAGTCAGGCGTGTGTGGGCAATCACAAAAACTGGAGCAATGCAGCTTTTAATCACTGTATCATAGCATCCTTGCAATCAATGCGCCTGACTTGTCAGTCACAGCCACAGCGGTGATCAGCAACACCATGGTAGGGGACGAAGAGGTCCCAGAGATCAAGAATTGAATCACGCCAAAGGCGCTGAAGTACCTACATTTAAATACATCTACAATAGCGTCACTGGACCATTCCGTTTTGCGCACAGCTCGTTCCGTCAGCACATCCAACGACTGCCATGCAAACATGAAAGAAGTCGTTGTCAATTAGTCAGACCAGGGCTATGCAATGCCGAACACAAACCAAAGCGGCGCCCTTCAACTCCAGACGTGATCCACCCAGATGCAGGCTGGGGTTGTTTGATGATCGACTCTCCACCCCTACCCCTGCCCAACACAGTTCCACTACCAGACAGATGTTTGTTGCGTTGCTGAAAAAGACAAACGGCGATCTCGGACAATTTCACGGGTAGACTCGGGTACTCTTCCTGCTTCCGAGCCGGCCTCGGCTGGCACTGGAGGGACATGAACTGCCTGGGCCTCGAAACACCGAGCGATGTAGGGCAGCTCCTCGCGCTCTGAGCAGCTCCCGCCCCAAAAGCTCACGGCTCTCTACGGCTCTACGGACTCTAACAAAAAGCATGTTGTAGAAAGTACTCGGGCTTCCCTCATCATTTTGGATACTGAGTGCTTGGAGGAATCCAAGAAGCAGAATCGCCTCCAGGATTCCAAGCTCAAGCCCTTAGAAGCTCAGACTTCATGCCTCGCACCATTTCGAGCTTTCCACCTCAACCCTCAAACTTCTTAAAATGAACTCCGGGCTCTCATTCAAGCCCGAAGCTAGAATACAACGGTCAGCGCCCAATGCGAGCTTCACGGCGAAGCAATTCTCTAAGCACTATAGAATCTCGCGTTCAACTAAACCCTGAACTAACTTGAACTAACACCGAATCCAACCTACAGCAATCGGAACACTCCGAAGCCTCTAGCCTCCAGCATATATGTATATATAGTTATATGTATGTATGTAATTGTATATAAATATTTATCATCAACATTATACATTATACAGCAAGGCACCTTGCAAGGACCAAGCCAACCGAGGCTCGGAACAAGGACTGAAGCCCATGCATAACCCCGGCTTGACACTCTGACGGTAGCGGTAGCAGCCGCAGCGGCAGCAGCACGACACAGAAACTGACAGCGCACTAGATGGTGTGTAGCATGTTGAGATTCTGCAGCCCCATCCATCCTTACCCTACACACTGAAGCTCAACCTGAAACCTCAAACGGCAAATGCGGAGACATTAAACCTTGAGCTCTCCAATCCTGAAGCCTTAAACCCTCACCTGCTTCGAAGGAACCCCCAAGCTTACCGTCGGCCGATCCTCCGAACCGCGGGCGACGGCGACCAGGGCTCCGGCCATCCGCCGCACCTCGCAGAAGCCGAAACGCTGAAGAAGTCAGGGTTTGTGAGACGAAATCCCAACACTAAGGTCAGGGTTTCGTGTTTAGAGGTTAGGGATGAGGGGGTTGGCGCGCGAGTGTGAGAGAGCTGAGGGTCACATTCTTTGCTACAACTTGCACCAGCATCTACCCAGGAGGTGCATGTAGTCGATGGTGTATGTAGATGTAGTTTGTAGTATCAGCATCACCGACCGGCCGAGTGGTGACGAATCGCCGCCTTGTCAATACCTCCCCTGCCTGTAGCTTGCTATATCTATATCGGCTGGAACAAACTCCGCAGCTTCGCCGAAAACAGAGCCTAGCCAGCCTCCCCAATGAAGCCACATAGCAATCCGAACATCCATTCAAACAACAAAGTTGGACAACAGGAGATGAAGGACACCCTACAAGGCAGCCCGAACCAACCCAAAAACCCAAACTTCAAACCAACAGCCTTGCGAGAACCGCTGGCCGCTAGGGTTTAGAACTTCCCTCATCAACTGTCCCTCTGCTGGGAAGCCGGTGCGAAGGGACGCAGTTCTACAGGAAACATTCTTCAACAGCGAACTGAGATTCGTGAACCTTCTACGACATACAGTGGGCTCCAAAATGCAGCATCGCGAGATTCCGCACTCCAAGGGTTTCCTGAAGTTGTGAGTGTTCAGCGTTCACCAGCAATGGCTGGCTTCCTGACACGGCTCGAATCCAAAACCTCATCGCCCGCATTGTGTTTTTCGCCAGGTTTTGCTATGATGGACGGTGCTATACTCGACTATGTCACATTAAACTCTAACTATACCATCTGTATCATATGAAAGTATGCCATATCATATCAGGTTATATAACGGTACGTAAACCTCTGCATACCTCTAACATCATAATGCCTTATTTCAGCAAGCCTAGTACAGTATGTGTAGCACCAAGAACGGCCTCACCTGGCACAGCTTCTCCTGGATGCCCGTTTTGGTCTAGCCAATCTGTACCAATGATCCATTGAGACATGGAAGTCTCTCGAGAAGGATCGGGAAAGAAAACGAAACAGAGAACATCGTCTAAACAAGAACTGTTCCAGTGCCGCCTGCAGCCTCACCCTGACTTACAGCATCTGCAAGTGACACTAGCGCCTCAGAAAGTCTTGAAATCCGTGGCATTCCAATAGCCATGTGCCTTCAGCCATTTCGAGCTGTGGTGCTTGATCGATGCCCACTCCATCTTTGCAAGGTCCTGCTGCGCCCCGGTCACGTGAATACGTCCGCCAAAGGTACTGCCTCCTCTCAACAAGATGTGCCAAGGATGAAGGCAGGGGTCGAGCTTGATGCAGTGTCGCAAAAGCCGGTATGCATGCGAAGTGCTCCGTGTGCGAGGGTGCCGGAGCGGCTTCTTAGCATGCAGAGTTTTCGCCTTCTGATCGTATCCGTATGGTCCGTATTGAACTGTGAAAAGGGGGGCAATGCGGTCGGGCTTCAAGGCAATCACTGCATCGCCCACCACACGGACATGCTGTGACTCTCGAGTGCATGAAAGGCAGCCATAAGTCCTAGAGGCTGTGTAGCTTGTGTGGCCTGTGTCGTCCACCACGCCGCACACCAGCAGCGCTGACTGGGCAGGCCGCACGAAGCTCAAGGCCAGAAGTGGGTTCTCAAGGGAGGCGCTGTAGGTCCCCAAGCCGTGCGCAGATCCGTTGATGACTCTGAGCCCGTTTGTATCCTTGTCCGGGATCAGAAGGCCGCGCTCAAAGATTGAGGCGTGGTTGGAGAAGTCGGTGCCGTGGAACGTCGGCAGCAAGTCCCCGCCTTTGCCTTCAGAGTATGTTTGCAGAAACCCACTCCGGACGCCGCTGGACAAAGGCGTTGGCGACAGACTCCGAATTTTCAGCTTCGCCTTCAACGTCAGCGACTGGAGAAGGCTTCGCCCGTGCCTGCGGAGAAACTTGGCACGCAGCGCATCAAAGGCATCGGAGGACAGCTGGCTCCGCGCCTCTTCCAGCTTTGCCTTGAAGGGGCAAGGCCTGACTGGAGCTCTGTAGTTTCGGGCCACTTCCTCGGCAAGCTCCAGGGCACGGTGCCAGCGTGCAAAGCGCTGGCAGCGAGGCACTGGAGTCCTGCTTTCACAGCCCAAAGCGGACCAGGGACAGGCTGTGGTGGTCTCGGTCTCGGTCTCTGGATGGCAGTCCGGATCTGGGCAGCCGCCCTTACCTTTGCCAGGCCGCTGTGTCCTTCGACGCAGGCCCTTGGCATGAGCCAGGTTGACGCGCCGCTGCCTCGCGCTCTGCTTTGCGAGCATGTCTTCTGCTTTGGCATGCAGGAAATGCAACCTCTTCAGCTCCTTCGCTGAGTTTTGGGCTTGGCAATCGTCTGGCACAGTTTGCCCCACGGTTCGAGCTCGAGCAGACCTCCGCAGCTGGAGAAACTTGAGGTACCGGCAACGACTTCGGAGGGCACCTACATCACGCCCGTCGAAACTCTTCAGGAGGGTCCCTGAGCTTCTGTTTGCTTCTGAAAGTGTCGGCCTTCCGTCATCGCATCCATTAGGCAGAGGTAGGAAATCAAACTCATCCCGGCGCTGGGGAAGAAGACCCATGGCCAGTGCCGCTTTCCACTGTACACTGTACACAGCACTGTCTGGAAGCGGGCCCACAAAAACCCGTAAGCCTTGACAACTGCAGCGAAAGACGCTGGTGTTGGATTTCATGTAGAACGTGGAAACAACCATCTGCGCACACCAATCGCCTCTAGGCGCTGCCGGTTTATCTAGAGATGGGGATGTCAAGGTCCTCCACGCGACTGCTTTGTTTGGTGGTGCGGCCAGTAAGGACTCGAAAGCAGGCCGCAGGCGTCACGCTGTCAGGGCGTTTCCTGAACACCCATCATCATCTTCATCTTCATCATCATCACCGCCGTCACCATGACCATGTCCCTCATCATGATGCTTGCCACAGCCGTATTCATAAGCAGGACGAGGAAACACAAGCCATGAGCATGAACAAATCAGCACAGATACTCCGTTCTTAAAAGCTTCTGCCGAGACAGATCCTCCGTTCAAAGCCTCAATATGCTCGAACTCTATAACCGTATACATCCTAAACCTCCTAGACTAATTATAATGCCGAAATTCTCAGCTCTACGGTGCCTAAGCCCCTAAGTCCAAAATTCCTAAACCCCGAAAGCCCCAAATCCCTGAGGCCAGATAGAAACTCATAGCCCTAAAGCCAGCTCGTCCTGGATCTTCGGTCCGTGCCTGCTGCGGGCCGAAGTCTGCAGCCACGAAGGTCACAGCTGTCCAGTCTGAATCAGACCAGTGGCTCCCTGCATGGGTTTCGGAATTCGGGTCTTTACAGGGTGCTATCACGCCTGATGGGAGTTGAAGGGCTTCATAGCCTTGAAGGGGTTGAAGGCTTCAGAGTGCTTTCTCCCAAAACCCTGGATTTTTTGCCATGTTTGTGGCTTTACTGATTCTGGGCCAGGGGTTCTCGCTTGACGCACCTTCCACTTTCCTGTGCAGCCCTGTTCACCTCAAATACTTCCAGGTTTGGGGAGTACGGATCTGGGATTTTGGAGTGCTTGGAGGTTTAGGGCTTTGGGCTTGCAGTTGTGAAGGATTTTTTTATCGAGCTTTTCGCCTGCCGTACTGACAACTTGCTTGAACTTCAGACCACTATGCTTGATCGCTCTAAACCAAAGTGCCGTCATTTGTAATACTCCATAGACCCATCTACTGTCCTTGAAGACGAAACCCTAAACCCAACAAGAATTTCGAACCCTAAAAACCTTAACTAGAGCCCTAAACCCTGAACACTTAAATCCTGAGCCTCTAAACCCCTACAGCCCTCAACCCCCATAATCCTGAACCTCTTAACTCATAACCCTACAAACCGTTACAAACCCCTGAACCCCAGGAAACAACCTCCACTTGGCCGGCCTTTTTCTCGCTCCTGTGCGTCTAAGCCCAGGGCCGAGCAGTGGAAGAGCTGCCTCTCGGTAGCACCGCGGTGCACTTTTAGGGTTTTAGGGTTTAGGGGTTTAGGGTTCTTAAGATTAAGGTTACAGCATGGTACGCCCTGGCATAATAGCAACTAACATTCAACGAATCTGATAATCTACACTCACATCTAGTAGCAATATCAATAAAAACCTAATACGTATGCCATACGGTAAGAGGCACGCTGGTTGCTCTCACTACGACTATGGTTATCATGTCGCAATTCGTGTGGATATCCAGTGCTCAGTTAGAAGAGTCCGGGTTTTACATGGCCTAGTAGGATTCTATGTAGTCTGGTACGGTTTCGGGGTGTCAGGCCTGGGGCCGAGCTTCGAGTTGCTTGACATTCTGTGAACACCTTGTAGTCAAGTGACTGATGATTCTAACATGTTTTGTGCAGTTTTTGTTGGTGTGGCTCAGGCTTGAGGGACACTTGGGGCCAGCAAGGGTTTGAAAAGATCTGCTCGAACCCGCCACAAGCCTTCAGCCGAGAACAAAGGCCACGAATGGCAGACACCTGAAACCCCCAAACCCAGCCGCTTCGAAACCTCAGCTCCTGAATCCTGGACCTTCCCCAACCCAGCTCATAAACCCTAAACCTTCCCTAAACCCTATAAAACAAAATTGCAACTCCCAGTCTTGCGTCCCTCCTCATCGCTGCAGGGTCCCGGAAAGGTGGCTGTGGCCAGAGGAAGTTGTGGTAGGACCGCAAACCCTTACCTGAGATTCACTGAAGCACAATCACTTAGAGCCTGAGCGCTCAAAGGGTCTGTTGGCTCCTGGAAAGTGTGCCGCAACGAGGCAACTTAGGCCTTACAGCGTGCACATGCCCACGCCCACACAAAGCATTAGGAACTGACACGGACAAGCAGACCTGGGCAAAGGAGCATCTGGAGTTGACAACAGTCGAGGATCGCGACGAAAGCTTAAAGACTTCAATATGTGTGGCCCAGCACGACAAAGCACGGTACTCTTTGCTGCCCCGTAGCTCGCAGCTGGGCCACCTGCCGAAATCTTGATTCGGTTTCAAGCATATGCTACTACCAACAATGCAATCTTGAGATCGCAACCGATGGCCCTGCCTTTTAGCTCCTTCAGGGCCTTCCGCACTCGACCTCAGTTAGATTTGGGCCCAGCTCCCATCGGGCTTGGGGATGACTCTACACGCAAAGGCTTGATTCCGTTCCCTCTAGTCCCTCAAAATTGTTATGGGACCTTTCTCGTGAGTTCCGGATCTGCCAAAAAAAGAGCCATGCTGGAAGCAAGAGTCAAACTTGGGGATCGTGTTCGAGCGGAGGGTATCTGGTGTTCGGAAATCAACTCGGTGTGGGGTGTTCGAAGTCTTGCGACCGACGCCTTCCGCCTCTGAGGTGAACGGATGGGCCAGGGCACGGTGGACCACGAACTTGGCCAATGCTTCAGACAGCGGCAGGGCAACCAAAGCACCTCAGGCGACGGGTTCCTAGAAGATTCCTGCATTTTTTGGTCCAGACGCCATGGTCCCTGCTCCTAACGGCCATGCCCCGAAGTCATTGGGCTCTTGTGGATCTGGTTGAAATAGCTGGCTTCACCAATCCCACATCCTCAATCTTCTGAACATCTAAACTTAAACTCCTCACCTCACTTGCAGGTGAAGGGAACTTACGAGTAGCAGATGGTCTGAGAACGGAGACACAGCTGGTACCAGTACCATCTTTGGGGCTGTCGCTTATCACCTGCGAATCTTCGGAACACCTATTCGGCTTTCTGTGTCTCAGGCGCTTCCGTGCCAGAGCCGGCCGTTCAGCTGCCCAAGAGCAGTGCTGGCGGCATCCTCCGATAGACGCACCTGGACCTCAGCTGTGCGTTTGCGGCATTTTCTCAGTCGTTGTAAACTAGGCCCGAGCACACAGCTCCCAACTGCAATCCTACAGTCTACTACAATCTCTGCCCGAAAGGTGTATGTGCACCTCTTCTGACTGCAGTTTCACGCTCAGAAGCATGGCTTCGCGTGTTTCCGGGCCAATTCTGCACTGTTCTCCGCAGCTCTCTGACCACCCTCACCTCCCGAGAAACAGAAGCCACGATGAAGCCCTCCCATGAACATTGCAGACTTCGGGTATCAGGGGCGCAGGTTCAGGACTCACAATCGCGGTTGTGCCAAGGTTCGTGGCCCTTGCCCGTTTCGAACTCGATGTCCTGCAGTGTAAGGCCGCATGGATGTCGTGCCATGGGATGCTGTTTTGGATCCAAGGCCACTTGGACACGGATCAGGGCACGTGCAGCAGCTCCCAATTTCCCTGACCTTATATCACTTATATCCCTTAACTCGAGAACTCCCACTCCTCAAAACCTATAAGCTTGCCGCCTCGGGCATTGCGCTGACACCGACCTCCGTCAGCAGCTGAAGGACCTTCGTATGTTAATGCCCATGCGCCAAAAGGCGATGAGGGCTCTAATGGGGCTTTCAGGCGCTATGGAAAATCTAATACGAGTATTGGCTGTGCGAATCGGGTTTGCTTGAAGACCAAGGTCTCGCCCTTCGGTTGGAGGGCTGAGGCGCTTAAGGCCGAGGGGGTAGGGCTTTCATGCTCAAAGCCGATGCAGACATGAAGTAGGTCTCCGAAGAACAGGAAGCCCCAGCTCCCGACAACAAGATCTTGCCGGATCCCCAACTTTAATGCCCCCAAAACAGACGAGCTCTCCTGACCTGCAAATCCTGAACCATGCCCCCCGCTGCTTTGCAAGCTGACATACTACATTAATACATCGCCGCACACCACCCTAAACCCCTAACCCGAACTCCCAAATATCCCAGCGCAGCCCACCACCCTCCGGACCAGACCCAGGAGCATCCTCGGGGCTGCATTTGTCGTGGAGAGGCCCAAACCACGCCTCCGAAAGCTTTCAGGAGGTACCCCAAGTCACCATCAAAGCGTTGCTACGAGGGCAGGTAACCTCGTCGGGTCTGCAATCGAGGGCAGAGAAATGGGATTTGACTTGGCTGGAAGCACGCACATCACCCCCTCTGTGCCGTATTGTGTCACGGAAAAATCCGTCGGCTTCGGGCCACCAGGAGCCCCTAAACCCCCCAAACACCCAACATACCCCTAATCCCCAAGTACCGACAACCTTACTGAAGCCCATGAGCCATCAACCCGAACCTGAAGACAGATTTCAAGTTGTACAGTTCCTCATTGCGGCCAAAGCGCGCCACCCAGACTCCTCCTGTTCTCGGCAAAGGAAGCCTTTTCCTCCTAAGAGGGGCGATGACTGAGCAGGGCGTCTAGGTTCTTTTTCTTTCCAGGGGCTCAAGGTCATAGCTTTAAAAGGGTTCCGGTTCAAAGCTTTAGATGCCCTTTGATCGTGATTGAAGGATCAGATCAGGGCAGCGGAACTGTCGACTACACTGCAATCCTGATAACGGCTCCAAGAGGATACAAAACCTCCGGTCTGTGAAAAATCAAACCTCTCCACCCACAATCGGCAAACAGATCACTTGGTTCCTCGAAGGCAGTGCTCAACGTGGGTGAGGGAACAAACGTTGGAATCGGATTCCCCGTTCACAGGAGCCCTTGGAGACTGGACCAGATGCCGAGGCAAGAAGAGGACTACATCTCAAGCTTCGGGAAAACCCCCCGAGCCTCGGTGATGATGACCCAATACGGGATGTAGACGTTGAAGGATCGTCGCCGCGGAGCGTAGACCTACCGGACGAGCACATCCGGCAAAAGCATAGAAAAAAGGCCCTAAACCACAATCCTCACTGTCCCAACTCGAAAGCACAACGCAAGACTGTTGGTCGGGACGTAGCCGAAGCACCTTGTCAAAGATGGTCGCCGAAGGTCCTAGGGAGGACACCGGGACCACCGGCGCGAGCAGCCGGATGTCGGAATCCTGGAGCTCCCGAAGCAGGGCAGCATCGTCGCGAAGGCAAGGCCTTGGCAAGGTAGTAGTGCTGTAGGCTGTAGACCTTTGAGGCTATGGGGCCATGGGGCTTGCGCAGGGCTTTGGGGGTATTGCTCATGGTGATGGTAACGGCGTTGCGGGGCGCCAGTCATCATTTTGCTCAGATCCATGATCCAGTTAGCAACCTCGCACCCATGTACAAGAGAAAGAGCCTGGAGCCGTGGACTGGAAACTGGTGCCCAAGTGACTTTTTGTTGTCACCCCGTCCCTCGCTTTCCCGGGCCGCTAGGCCTCGAGGCCCCGACCATAGAATAGACTGGGCTCTTGTGAAGTAATTTAGAGGAACCATACCATTTACTATAGATCCCTGTTATGTTAAAGTCAAGTCCTTAACAAGAGCCCAGTAGAGCAAAGGCCCGGCTCAACCACCAAAGCCGGATTCAGCCAGAGAGGGTTGAAGGGACAACAAATGAATCCGAAATCCGAGAAGAGAAATGGGCCTCGAGTCATTGAGCATGAACTCCCTAAGCTCTTTGAGCCCTATACACCCTCATCCTGTGACGCACCAGGATGGCCCACCTGAGTGTAAGGATGAGAACGTTCTCGGCCGCATGGAACCCCCGGTCCGTCCGTGCGCTGCGTACGGCGGAGAGGAAGACGTCCTTTGGGTGCTTTTGGGTTCCGGCGTGGCTTCTGGAGCTGGGAAGCACAGTCTCTAGCAGCTCGGGTTGCAAGCACTTTGTGAATTTCGGGGCTTCGCTGCGCACAACTCAGAACATCTCAGAACTGGAAGGCTAAGAAGAGGTAAAGGTGCTCAGCTCGATAAATCGGTTCAATATCCCCAGCAGCAGACATCCCAGAACCCACCCGGGGGACCCTCAAACCTTATTTCGACGGAAGACCCCAAAGCTCTCGCTGTTGGGGAGCAAGAAAAGGCTTTACACCGCAATATCGGGGATCAGCTGAACCCGATACCATCCGAAAAGTGGGCAGTATGCAGTACAGACTTTGATGACACTGCACCTTCCTGACGCAGCCACAACCACATGATGATTGCCAGCCCAAAGCCAACTTGTCCAGACTACAATCCAAGCCATGGTTCCGCCATCTCAGGATGAACCCGAAGGGTTCTAAATCAACTTCAACAGCCACTTTGAGACGGTACTTCACTGCTCCCAATCCTATCCCAGCTTCCGAAGACCGAGAGTCCTTCCCCCAGGCACGGCGCAGCGCAGAGATCACCGCCCCTTCAACCTCGGTGTTCTCCAAAAGCTTATGGTAGAGCCAGCCCGGCCCCAGTTCCAAAACAAGTAGGGCTTGCTAAGCCTTTTGAAGGGCGGAATGCTACCATCAGGAGGCGTTCTTGTGAGAATTTGGGACTGGGAGGGCCTCGAGGTCTGCAGTGGGCTTAGCGCTGCCCTCCGAGGTGTTGCCCTTATGCTGCAAATTGAAAGCATCGGACCGAAACTTCGATGACAACAACTAACGTAATATCGGGCTCTGCGTTTGAATTTACTTTCTGCCTCCTGAAACAGAAGTGGGAGCATCTGTATCCAAGGTACGGAGGGGAGTGTGGCCTCCTCCCGCTCATTCTGGTAGGCGCTGCAGCGGTAGCGAGAGCCCAGGTAGCCGACTACGACAAGGACGCGCTCCTGAAGGAATAGAATAGAACTTTTCACGTTGTTCACACTGATTCCAAGGGAATGTGGAAGCCTCATATTAATCAAAAGGCCAAAGCTGCAGCTTGCCGCTTCTGTAGCAGGCAGGCTGTTTGCAGCTTGAGCTTTGACGGGGTATACGTTTAAGTTGTCGTAGTACGTAGCTTCCCACACTGAGAACATGCTGTGCGACTTCACCACCCGAAACTTTGCATCAAGAGGTAGTGCATGCGTATCATACGAAGGGGCAGGAGTTGTCCTGCAGGCCTGGTTCTTCTGCTAAGCCTGCATGACTACCAGAAGTGCTTCCCCCAAAGGCTTGGGATTCGAAAACACGCTAGGCCGAAACCCTGGACATCAAGCTCGCCCAATTGAAGCCAAACAGCCTTCACCCTGCATCAACCTGAAACCCTCAGACCCGTCAAGCCGAATCCGTTAAAACCAAAAGTTGGACCACTGAAAACTTGAACGCCTATACGTATTTGCGTAAATAGTGTGCTACAAGAAAGAGTAGACCAAGTAGGCTTGAAAGCATCAGCCCTTGACGGTCCTTGCCCTCTTTGGCCTTGGCAGCCAGGGGATCGCATTTCTCTGCCAGGTGCTTGAACAACGCGTTGCCTGCATCTCCATTCACAGCTTTTTTTCGGATCCCAGCTGTCTCATAGGGGGAATGCAACACCGAACTTAACGCAGCCAAGATGCGTGACACAAACGAGGCGCCGCAGTGGCCGCAACTGGCCTTCAGAGGAGACAAGTCCAATCTCCGAAAGTCTTTAAACTAGAATTCGCTTCGTTGTCAAACGTTGGAAGAGACTCCCATCAGCAGCTCACTTCCCAAGTCTCGGGTGTGCCCTCATTACTCGCTCTCGATCTTAGTTAGAAACTCGAAACTATTCGAAACTGGTACTCCAAGCCTCTCAACATCCCGAAGCCCCGAACCCCAAACTCAAGCCCGCCGGCCGTAACCCTGAAACTGCTAAACACCCCAACACCCTAATTGCGAAACCCTAAACCCAACACCCTCCCACTATGCCTCCTTGTTGGGTGTTGGACCCGGCCCGGCCGTCATGTGGCTCTCTACACTCGGGGCGGTTCAGGGCCGAGGGTTTAAAGCTTAGGGTCTCGGGTTCGGTTTCGGGGAAGGGGTTTAGGCTTCAATACTGTAGGGTTCGGTGATGAGGTGTGTTAAGGTCTTGGGGGCAATAAGACTTAGACTGGTATAGTGCCTAGTGGTGTGGTTCGAGTTTAGGGTTTGAGGCCTGAGGGCCCTTGACACACACGTCACTGTCATAGTCAAGTTCAACTTTAAGAACTCGAATGTGCAAAACATTGCTTTAAATTCTGGTGCTCCGCGGCTCAAGGGTCTTGGCTCGAGGGACGTCGAAGTCTTCAAAGCTTAAGAATCTGAAGGGTGTCAAGGGGTTGCGGGGTGATATGTTTTGGGTTTAGGGTTCAGGGTTGAGCATGTCGAGCTCCATTGGCTTACAGCAAGCAAGCCGTTTGCTGAGCCTCGAGTGTGCGGTGCTCCAAAGATTTGAAGGGAAGCATGAAGCAACGGCAGACAGAGTAACAGGACGCAGTGCACTTGCTGTGAAATCCGCTTTCTACACTCACCAACACCAGTCACCGCACGTGCGAAATGTTGGACATCGGGAGAGAACCCCAAAACCAAACCCAGAATCTGAAAGATCGACACGTCTATCACGCCGGAAAAATCAGAAGTCCCGGGCATCTTCTCAGGAAACTCGGCCTGCGCCGGCCTTCCGGTGGACTTGGTCTGTCAATCCGCTCATGTGGGAGATCCCTTTGGGTTGGCTTTCAGGAGATTTTGGGCCTGCAAGGCCCTTGGGCTTCGGGTTCATAAGCCATAAGCTTGCCTCAAACATAGTCCTCCACTGCCTCAGATGCACCCGTTCACCACATGCTGCAACACCGGTTGCTCTTGCAGCAACAGGAGTAGATACTCTTACCACGGGCGTCCGCTTTTGGAGTTCAAGTGAAGGAAGCCAGCGCACATTTACTTTGAAAATGTCGGCTCGAAGCCATTCTGTATGCCCGCTGGAAGCTTAAGATCAAAGGTTTGCACTCTGAATTAATCAAGCTTGCTGGCCTCGTTGATGTTCCTTACGAACAAGCGCAGTTTATGTGCACATCGAGCTGATTGTCAGAAAAAGACATTCGAAACCCTAAACCCGAAAGACGCTGCTTCTGTTCAGGAACCTTCAAGTTCTGCACAGACCCCCGCAACAAATTCAATAGCACACATGAATTACGGCTTCCAGCCTGCATAGATTCGGTTCTAGGGGGTTGTTAGAATTCGACCGCCGTGAAGCGTAGGATGGAAAAGGGCACGGTGCCATGCAAAGCGCTTGAAAGAGTTTCTAGGCGCCTTCGGTGGTACGACCAATCGTGAAGTTTGTATGGGGTTCAGCTTTAGAACTTCGGGTTAGGGGTTTAGGGGTTGGGGTTTGCGCGGCATCGAGTTGAAGAAGGGAGTCATTTAAGGTCTTTTGGGGAGCTGTGGAACTGCAGCCATTCCTCCGCAGGGTATCCCAACTCACTGTGCTCGCTGATCAAATTCAATGAAAATATCTGATAAACTGATACTGGATGTTATGTGTTGGTATGTAGTATACCGTGTCCGGAAACTGTGGCCCCAAGAAGTGCTCAAGAAACTGGCCATGCAACTCCTGGCGCTGAAGGCGTACACCCGCAAAAGCCCCCAGCTTAACGAAATACTAAAACACAACATCAAACCGGCACAGTAAAGTAGCCGTGTTTGGGACCTGTCAGAAGCCGAAGGGCAAGGGCTCTGAAATCGAAGACCCCGAGACCTTGAAAGTGTGAAGCTGTTGTGGTGGGGAGCCTATGTTTCTCTTAAAATCCTCCAACCCGACCCGATCCTCAACGGAAACGACGGAGGCAAGTTGATTGACCTTCGCAGTGCAGTTTCACACAACGATGCAGGCAAGTTTCCACGCAATAGAACAGCATTCACGTGACAGTGACATGCAGGAGCTTGCATGTCACGCAACCACTGCCAACCCTTACGTACTCTCCAGCATCACGGTATCCTTATGCTTGCAGCCTAACTCTTCCAACTGCTGCAAGCCTGAATCCGAACCTCATGAAGCTGCCTTTCACCTCTCCGGTTCTCTGAATGCAGAAGTCCCTGCAGGGCTCAAGAAAACACTCTCCTGTCAAGGTCACCAGAGGGCTAATAACTACATCTGGGGGCCGGGCAGCTCTGTCCGAAGCTCCTGGTGGGATTAAGGAGTCTAAGGTTGGATGCATCAAGAGATGTATTTTGGACATACATATAAACTCGCATGTACCTATGTATGTCTGTGCATATATGAGCATTTTATATGTGTAAGTTTATGTATGGATGGCTGGCTGGGTCGGCGGGTTGTTAAAGTAGGCAGGCAGGTTGGTAGGTCGATGAATGGATCGATGTTCACATGGATACCACGGATGCATGACGACCTGCATGTGCGTAAGGAAACAGGTGCAGAAATCTGGGCCACAGGGCTTCGGCTTGCGCTCCAGCAACGGTTTAGCTTTTCGCGGCCCGGGTTCTAGGCGCGGCAGGGGGGTTTTGCGGTGTGAGATTTCGTCTTGCAGGTTTGAGGCTCAGAGGTGGCTGAGATGCTTTGGAAGGAGAACTTTCCCGACAACTCTCGCAGCTCCGATTCCACCCATACCCCGTTTCTAACCTCCGACCGGAACACAGCATAAGTTTGGGGACATGACCGTACTGCAGGAACCTCTGACTGCAACCAACGATCACCACACCTGCATACCTCAGTAGTCAAAAACCCGGTCCTCCCGTTGAAGCAGGAGGAGAAGCTGCCGCTGACGTCGAATGACCTGAGCTTCCGCTTGTGGAGAGTTGAGCGTGAACTCCAAACCGCGAAGAATGAACCCCTGACCGAGGATCACTGAAGCCTCTAGCCCTAAACCCTAGCCCCTAAACCCTATAACAGAAATCCAATATTTTGACAGACTTCGGAACTCAAGCTCTCAACCTCCGTGCGGCCGTACGACCGCTACAACGAAGGTCTGAAAATCAGAGTTCGGTGGTATAAGGCCTTAGAGGGGTTCGTCGGGCTTAACATACTGGCATGACTAGTCAGACTAGTCAGTGTCAGTAAGGTCCTGGGGTAGATTTATTAATGCAGTGCAACGAAGTTTCTGTCTAGATAGATGGACGGATAGACAGATAGGTAGATAGACAGACAGACAGAATATGCTTAAGCCTCTATGCTAACAAGCCCCAGCCCGCACAAACTTCACCCTGAACAAGCCTTCTGCTCTTGAACCATGAAGCCTGCAAGTATACAACTAACCAGACAAAGCCTAAACTCAACCTGGTCTGTGCGCATTCATCCCGGCAGGAACTGCAGGCATACCTTTTGGTTACATTAAACCTCGAAGCTCACAAGACTCCGCGAGGACTACTCTTCAACCCAAGCTACAGCCAAAGCCCGAAGGCCTAAACCCACAGCCACAGCCTCAAACCATTCTAAAACCCCAGCCCCTAAACCCTAAAATCCCCCTAAACCCCAGCCCAAAAACACCCCCAAACCCTAACCCCTAAACCCTAAACCACAACCCTAACCCCCAAACCCTAACCCCTAAACCCCCAAACCCTAACCCCTAAACCCCCAAACCCTAACCCCTAAACCCTCCACCCGTAGCAGCCCAAAGCCTCGGAAGACCTCGAGACTCCAAGGCCCACACCGAGGCCTCGATATCTTCGAGGCGGTCCCGGTCTGCCTGGGTCTCGGGCTTTTATGAAGGGTTTAGGGTTTTGGGGTTTAGGGTTTAAGGTTTAGGGTTTAGGGTTTAGGGGGTCTCGGGCTTTTATGAAGTTTTTGTTTGAACGCCTTTTTCCAACTGCAGCACAGATGAAATCCCTCCAAGGGAAGGCGACTGGTGCACCCTCTCGTACAACTTAAACCCTCGTCGATCTAGAGCTTATTTTTTTTTGAAGGGTTTAGGGTTTAAGGGTTTTGGGGTTTAGGGGTTTAAGGCTTGAACTTAGGGTTTGGGGCTTAGGAGTGTCACAGGGGTTGTAGGCATTCAGCGTTGTGTGTTTCAGGGCTCTTTCCTTTGATGCATGTAGGTCGTGGGAGTCTTGCAGCGCAAAGACTTCGGTGACGGTTGGCGATGTTGGGTTTTGCGGAGTCGTTGAGGCTTGGGAAGGCGAAGACTTTTAACCCGAACCATCCCTCCTAAAGCCTAAACCCCAGCTCCTGTAGCAGTGCAGCCTAGGCCTAGTCCCCTGGCTCGAAAACAAACCCTCCTGACACACACGGGTTCGGAAGGGACCCCTCAAACAGACTCAAAGGGACCCTTACATGGACCCCTGAAACTTCAAACTCCCCCTTTTTGTTGCCTGACTACAGTACTGCAGGGGAACCCCAATGACCGCCCATCCCTGAAGGGAGGCCTCCAGCTGCCCGTTGGCAGCATAGGCCTCGGCCTGAAGAGCAAGCGCCGGAACTTTTCGAGCGCTTCTTGTCCCTCTTGAAGCTGTCTCTTTGTCTTTCAAGTCTTTGGGGTGGCAATTCTGTTATTTGATGTTTTTTGAAGGGTAGGGGGAAAAAATGACTTGAGTGTTGAAGCGATTACAAAGGAGAACTTTCTTCTTGGTGTTAAGGGCTGTTGGGACTTAGGCTGTGGGGCTTGGTGCGCTTTCAGGGCTTCAGGGTCGACGGGTTCGAGTTTAAGGCTGTCCAGGGTTGACCTGAGTCTTCGGGACTTCGGACTTGTCTTATGTTTGAAGCTCCCGTACGGGTGTACGTTAAATCCATTCCCAAATGTAAAACCCTTGACCAGAAGTTCTTGCGGATGAAACCGATCATGAACAAAGGCCTAACCTGGCAGGGGCCGCGCAATTAGCATGTCGGAACCTGAGCCTGACACGAGACGGAGAACTTACAAAATTGTGGACATACGGTGTGTCGCTGTCACCCTCAAGTCTTCCTACCCCCTTTCCAACCCCTCCCCTCCCCCGCGAAAAGCAACTAACGACGGAGATCCGCCTTAAGAGGCCTAGGCAGA